CTAGAGAAGGTATGATAGAGAGAATAAGAGTAGCTTGCGCAAATATACCGCGAGCTGTCTTACTCAAAACGGTCATGCACTTCGAAAATAGATTGGAATTATGTATTCAAGCCAATGGAGATAATTTTAAACAATTCCTTTGATAAAGATCTTGCCTTGACTGTTTGGATCATGTCCAGATCTTGCCTTGACCGGTTGGATCATGTCCAGATCTTGCCTTGACTGGCTGGATCATGTCCAAATCTTGCCTTTACTGGCTAGATCATACTCGGATCTTACCTTCACTGGTTGGATCATGTCCAGATCTTGCCTTTACTGGCAGGATCATGTCCAGATCTTACCTTCACTGGTTGGATCATGTCCAGATCTTGCCTTGACCGGTTGGATCATGTCCAGATCTTGCCTTTACTGGCTGGATCATACTCGGATCTTACCTTCACTGGTTGGATCATGTCCAGATCTTGCCTTGACCGGTTGGATCATGTCCAATTCTTGCCTTGACTAGTTGAATCGTGTAAGATAAGACGGAAAGTGAATACTTTACGACAGTGCTCGAAATTAGTTGCTCTTTTCGGCCCGTTCTCGAAGGCGACGCCTACTGACCCCCCACTACCGCTCGAGGCTCGACGGCCGAGCCGCCAATCGCTCTTACTTGGGAGCGTCTCACATAAAAAATGCGCCCAAATTGTTTTCGCCAAACTATCATTAAAACATCTCTATTAAATAATTCTCTATTAAATAATTTTTTTGACGAACATTAAATTTTTGTTTTAACATATTATATGTGTTACATAATAATTTTTTACATTATAATAATATTTAACAAAATTTTATTTTTTGCTAAGCCATGTATTTAATTCATTATTTTTTAGTGGAATACGCCTACTGGGAAAACACTAAAAAAAAAACGCAAAATTAATAACAGTACCTCACGGGTGATGCAAAAATTTATTGTTAAAATTTAAATTATATGATAAATTTTATGAAAATATATCGTTATAAAAATTATTACATAACATCTAATATATTTTTTTAAAAATTCTATTTTTGTAAAGATTATTTAATAAAGAAACTTTTAATAACAGTTTATCGGAAAATACAATTTGGGCGCATTTTTGGTATGAAACGCTCCTGAGAGCGATCGGCGGCTTAGCCGTTGGGCCTGGAGCGATAGTGGGGGATCGATAGGCGGCGCCTTCGAGAACGGGCTGAAAAGAGCAACTAATTCCGAGCACTG